TGTGTATAATGGCTAAAATGTTTTTCTTTTTATTTCCGGGAAAATTCGCTTATAAAATAGCTAACTAAAATATTGATTTAAGTCAGGTACAAAGTAAATCAGCCCAAAACGGGATAAATCGGAGATAAAAATACTTTCAAAAAGGGTCAATATTTAGGTTAAACCCTGCTCTATTAAAATTTACTTCTATAAATAATTATATGTTTCTATTTAAGCATAAGTGCATGTTAATGTTGAAAAAATCAAAATACACAAGAAAATATATATACAAAAACGACTATCAAATAAAATATTTATTAGAAATATAATAAAATACAACGCAAAAGTTTTGAATAGAAACCAAGGACCTCCGATACAATTGGTCACAGCTTAAATAAAATAGCACACAAATGAAGCTATATAGTTAGCTAAACTAGTCTTTTCTGCAGTATCAAGGGCATACAAGGAAATGAGTTTAGGGAAAAAATATACAAAGAAAGCCATCATTTTGCAAAGCCATTTCAAATTCAACCTGCTAAGACATCCACCAACCCCACTGACATTGTTCGTGGACCAACGCGATTTCTAATTTTAGCAAAATAAAAAAAGAAATAACAACAATCTCTCTAACAAGATCGTTAAAATGCAAGCTTCAGATTTAAGATTCTCAAAACAGCCTCATAAAATGTAAACATACAATATTGCGAAATACATTATTCGTTTTGTACTTGCAAACTTAAATCCAACTTAAGCCCGATACGAAGCAGAATAAATCGGAGCTGAAAATATTTCCAGAAAGGGTCCAGATTATCACCAAGTACAATCTCAAGGTACGCTCAAAGAGATGAAATTCAAAAAAAGGGGCTCGTTTGTCACTTGCTGAAAACGTTAAATAGCAAAAAAAAAAAAGTGAAGAGAAGCAGCAGCCAGCTAAATAAGTTCCTGCGAATCGATCAGCTAAGATTCAATAAAGTCTAACAGAATCAAATTTCAAAAATTTCAGTTAAATGTTCCCCAAAAAATGTGAATAATTTAATATATTTCGTTATCTAGCTGAGTGTTTTGCTCGAAATAGTATCAATTAAAAATTAATAATTAAATAAAAACAAAAAGACATTTCGTTATAAGTATATAAGAGAAAAAAGACACTTTGATCCGATTGCAGCGCCATTTTGTATGGCAATGAGAATCTGCCGAGCCGGGAGACTTTGCCTTGTGAGGGCCATCAATTAAATGCGGGCAGCATCCAACACCTTGGCGAAGGCTCAGTTTACGGGACGCTCGCCTTCCTGTGGAGACCGCGTGCACTGTTGGCCAATTAATCAAAATCGTCGCCGTGTGCAGTCGGAGTCAGTCAAACGAGAGCGGGCAAAGAAATGTCGTTAACTTAAGTGTCCAATTAATTAAATTCGCATTTAAGAGCCGCCAAGCTGCGAAAAGCCATTAAGATAGTTTGTCACACACTGGGAGAACGCAACACACGGCCGCCAGTGCCACTTCCCACCTCCCTTCCCCACAGCCCGTCCTGCTGCAGGAGCAACCGCACGTTCACCCTCCACTCGCCCGCAACATTTGCCTGGGCCAAAACTGAAAACTTTGCTCCTTGCGGTTCCTTTGGCTTTGGGTTCTCTCAGCCTCAGCCTCAGCTTGGAAACTTGCAGCTAGTGTGTGTTTTCTTATTTTTTATGGTGGGTTTTCTTTATATACTCTTACGATATCCCTCAGCTGCTGCTGCTGTTGCAGTTGCAGTTGTTCTCCTGGCCTGTTCCTTTTTGGCAATGTTCAAGTTTTATGGGCAAGTTTATAAATTTGAGCTGCTTGCTCATGCGGTTGTCTGCTTGTCGGTCTGTTTCGGTGCTCCATCGTCCTGACAGGGCGATTTCACACTCAACTTCTTCGTAATAAGATTAATTTCTCTTAATTTCGTATAGTGTGGATACTACTGCTAAAGCCCAAAGCCGTCATTTCAATTAGGCTTCAATTTAGGGATTGTTCCTCATACATTTTCTGTCTCTCTGCATCACGCATAAATTATATTGATTAGTAAACAAAGAAAATAAGACACCGAAACTAAAACGATAATAATCTTTGCCTTAAAGATGACTGACGCAAAAGCAGTAAAAAGGTACTAGAGCTTAAAATATTTTAGCATCGTTTCTACCATTTCATCAGCACTATCAACGAACAGTTGGAATCGATTAGTTAAGAACACAAACTACTTAGAGATGGCATGCGTTTGCATCCTTCTAAGAATGAGAGAATATTTACTTTATCTAGATTTTGGTCAAAATAGCATTACAGACATCATTCCTCCCCGTCTGCCTCTACGCAATCATCCCAGTTAGTCAAATTTACATCTTGATCAAATCCCACATCAAAAAGCTAGCCTCTTTCATATTCTCTAATTCCATTCGAATAGAAACTCATCTCTAAATGATATTGAATGGAAGCATTGAAAGGTGAATCAATTTATCGGCAGCAGTCATCCGCAATCCCAAAACTATTTGAAAAAGTAAATTGCAATCTGTTCAGTTTCAGGACGGGACAGCACCATTCAACACCGACTGAATTCACATTCAGAGTTGTGATTGTACATCGCGTTTATAAGTTATTATTCAAGCTTCGTATATCACACAAGTGATCCCCTCTATCAAATTCTCAAATTCTTTGCTGATCGTGTGGTGGTAAGTGCAGACCAAGCTGCCACTCTGTTTATACAAATAGCCACGCCTTAATGAAAAAATATGTTGTCGATACTGATATTTTGCTCAGAGCCGTCAATGTCATCTTCAAGAGGTTCTGCATCGTTTTGCCAAATGCACCAAAAATTGGATAATTCATTAATTTATTAATGGTACTTCACTTTACATAATCCTTATGGCTACTCCGGCATCACTCAGCCATGAGCCCGATCAATTATATGACCTTGTATTTGGACAGTCCGTTGAAAATATAATTGATCCCACTTGACATAGTGTGACGGAGTTTTACGACTGCAAGGTATACAATACAGTAAGCAATTATAAGACCACTTTCTTTAGCAGTTTCTAAGTGGATGTCCTGTAAAAGATTCAAGCTCCTCCAGCGATGTAATAGAACAGTATATAACACTGTTATCGTGCCCACCTGGAGGTATGGAATCCAGATTTGGGGAAAGGCCGTTAACCAAAAACGAACCTAAGCTCCCCAGAATAAGGGCCTTGTCCCATCACCTGGCTGAAAAGACGACAATATATTACTTTGCTGCAGTAGCAAAAACTAGCACATCCCTAACTTTTATTTAAACCTTGTATTATTGACAAGGAGTGGCTTCTAAATCTTGCCTACCTACTCTGTTATAGCCGATACTGAAGGGCGAATATTGGCATAACTAATAAATTATAAATGATAAGACAAAAACTTCAGAACTGAAATGCACTAAATATGCGCAAAAAGCGCGAGAGTTGTTGCGTATTACAAAAAAATAAACAGAATTTAAAACCAGGGTCAGGACGATAATTATATTGAGTTTTAATTAATTAATATTGTATGAAAAACAGAACCAATCAAAAGAAAATCATTAGTGTAAAGCATTGAAATATATAAAATCAATAAACAACAAGTAAGAGGTTCTAGTCGGGATAACTATAAACTCACATCACAATCAATTTTTTATTTGATAATATTTTGTATATAAACGTAGTAATAGATGACAGATAAACGTAGTAATAGATGAGAGATAAACTGTTGATTGCAACCTGCTGCTTTTGTTCTCGAATACCAAACACAGACCAAAAGTTCACTGTTCACTGCTTTGATACCTGCGCTACAAGTGAAGGAACACCTATTAAAAGTATTGCACGATTTTTAATGAAGGTCCCCAGCTCATTCTCTGAAACCTAATTTCCGTAATGAAGGTCGGGCTACACTTCAATTCTTCCTTAATTTTCCTAAAGATCAAATTGTATACATATGAACTTTCGCACGCTATTACAATAACATATTTAAAATCTGTATTAACTACATTTACTTTACAGTTTAGAAATGTCACAAATTAATCTAGGTTTGGCCCAAGTGCCAAAATGATAAATGACTTCTAATAGACGCGCTTATTCCTTAATGATTAATAAAGCAACTTTCAAGTTCAAATCCAACATAAAGCGCATATAGAGCTCGGGGAAGGACGCTAACTGCGAAAATGAAAACACAAAACACTCAAAAAACGACAGCGATGCGCTCAAAATACCACTCGAGTGAAAACTCAAGAGCTCGTAAATTTCGTCTGCGCTGCAAAAGTAAACGCCCATAAACAAAGCAATTTGCCCAGTGCCGCAGAATCAGTTCCTCAATGAAAGCCACGTGTAGCCATAAATTTGGTTGTGCTATGAACCAGTTCTCTGCGCGCTCCTCTAACAGGTTTCTCATTAGTCCAGTGCTGGAAAACGCCGGCTGCAACTTGGCTGCTAAATGTAGCGACATCTGCGCAAAATTATGCCAAAGTTGCAGAAAAACGCAAAATATTTTGCTTGTATTTTGGCAGTTTTTGAATTGCTAGCGGTTTTGTGTCGCTTCCCAACACGAAAAATGGGCGGAGACTGATTGGCCACCTCGCTCACACCACTGCTGTTACCCAGTTGAATTGCTTCCCTTTCTGTCTACCACAACAACGCAAGCATATGTTTGACAAAGAAACAGCTGCTCTCTTTCTCTCTCACGCTCTCAAAGAGAGTGCGCAGTGCTCATGCTGCCAGTGTATGTGTGTGTGCAGCAAGCAGAAGATGAAGATGCCAGCAATAAACCATTCCCGGCAGCTATAAAGCATTGCGAGTGAGAGAGCGCCATGCCGGCGAAACGTGTGCAAGCAGGATGCAGCTCGCAAGCTGAGAGAGGCAGCGACATCGTAAATTTGTGCGCGTGTGCGTGATTTATATCACACTACTGCTGCTCTGTCGCTCTGCCGCTGCGCCGCAGCGTCGCAGCCATCATGGCCGGGCAGAGCGCGGACTGCGACTGCGCTCGTAATTCTCCCGCTTAATGGTTTGTTTACATCATAAATAAATATGGCTGAGTTGCGAGAGCCGAGTCTGCGTGGTAGAGCAACGCAAAGTTTTGGCGCGCGTTCTTCGCTCAGACACGTTGTTCCTAAATTCGCAACAGTGACGTCAGAGGCCAGAAATTGAGCCAATACACACGAGATCATAAACCAGCATGAGAAGCGACAATTACAACTAATATTGACAGCAAGTCTTGCCTTATGGCTAATATGGATGAAAAACTATTTAAGAATGTCTTTTCCCAAAAAGGTAAATACTAATTGTGTTGCTGCTGTGATTTGTTAGAATAAACTCTAATTATTTGAATGGATCACTTAAAGGTGCGCAAATGACAACAATAAAATGTAAACACAATTTTCAGTTTTGAAAGTTAGATAAATTGAAAAGTGAATTCTTTAAGTTAAAATTCTTGTTTCACCAAGTTTTCGTCTGTTGCTCATTGACTGAGATTATTGCATTTGAAAAAATTGTCTGTTAAAATATATTTATACATTAAAATAATCGTTTCTACGAATTTCTGTACTTTTCTTCAATACATTAGTTTCTTGAATTAAAAAATATATTAGATTTTACATACTTATTAACATGTCACTAATTTTTGATCTAAGACCAAATTTAAGCTTCTAGAAATAATCATTTATTTATTTTTTTTCATCATTCAATAATTATATTTCAGTATTCGGCTAAACTGGTTTCCCTCCCCATCTACGGTTAGAGAAGTCAAAAATAATATAAATTTAATTGCAAAATAATAGAAAATGTTCAATTTACAGCTGGAGAATATTTCCTTTTCGTCTAAGATACAAACACGAATAATCGGTAAATTTTAAAAATGTTCTCTACTGTGTTCAGAAAAGTATTGTGTGTATCATCCAAAAATTAGTTTATTTTTATAAATAAGCGTTATAGCTCTTAAAATTTATACACATCTATGCGTTCAATTCAGCTGAAATGTAAAGAAACTTGGAGAAAATTCATTGAGAATGTTCAAGCTTTCCACAACTTTCAATTGTGGCTTTGTCCGATTTACGTATATGCAAACAAATCTGTGAGCCTGTGACACCTTTGTATTACTCCTGTGCAGCTTCATTATGTACCCAACATGCTTGTCATTTGCCGACGGGCCTGTAGCCGGCGGCGTCTGTGCGTGCAACATGATGAGACGCTATATATTAACCAATTGAGTGAACGGTGGATGGTGGGATGGGGGGATACGGGAGTTGGGTCATGGCCGTAGATGTTTGCCCATCTGAGGTGGCACAACCACTTGTGGCGCCTTACTAATTTCACTGCCCGAAAAATGGCACGCTCGATGGTCACACAATTACGGATGTAATAAAGTAATTTGCCGTAATTGCAATTGAGCCAAGGGGCGGCAGTTGCGACGCCCGCCCGCCAAGAATCTGCCACAGCGCAAAAGTTTGTCTCTGAATAAGGCCCCCACTCGCGTGCCGAGTCCTTCGCAGTCGCAGCAACCGCCACAAACACACCCCTTTCAGAAGTAGACGGCTTCGGTCTTTGTTTCAAAGTTCGAGCAGAGTTCGAGCTGCTACTGGCTCTCCTTTGGTCGTTTGATAATGTGTGACAATGTCTTGGGCACTTGCCGTGCACAGAGGGAGATTTTAATTTAGCCAGGAGATACCTGAGCAACCGGCAAGCGGGAAGTGAGAACAAGAACTCTGTTTGCCGACTTTGTTCTAATTTTGCATAGAAAACTACTTAATTATTACGCCCAGCCCGCCAGCTTGGGCCTGTGAGTGCTGTGTGTGTCCGTGTCCGTTTTATCCTTTCAACAGGCTTTGAGTTATGATGCCTTTATGACGCTTTTGTCTGTCTAGGCACAGGCAGTCGTCCCATCCCTTGTCCAATTCCAATCCTTTTGTGTGGTGTTCCCGGGTAATGAGCAAGTTAATTCTTATTATTATGGTTATTATGTGTGTAGCCAGAGTGCGGACTATCCGGCCAAGCGTTATTTGCCACTACTCACTCTTATGCGTATGCGTGGGCGAAGTACTCATAAACATGGCCCATCCTCAACAAGTGTTGAGCAATCGAAGCAAATAAACACAGAGCACATAAAATGAGCCTATAAAAACAAATGGTGGGGCATGTGGCTGCCAAGTGTCGACCCCCTTAGGATAAACAAACACCGCCTTCGAGCGCCCCTCAACACATATCGTGTGGCACCTCACAGGCTTCGCCAGAACTGGCCCATGGAAGCTGCCCCCGGGAGCCACTAGGTCTCCGGGCACCATGTTATGGCTATGTACTGTGGTGGAAGCTGGTAGCTTGGGCATGCTGCGAATATTTCCACATTTGTTTTTGTTTTTTTTTTTTCATGATTTTCAAACTCAGAACAAATAAACAAACTCTCCGAAGAACAATATTTGATGCTTTTCACGCTTTTCACTTTCAAACGGCACTAAAATCGTGTTTGGTTATTTGTTTTGAAAATAGCTGCTACATTTTTTAAATACATGAACTCTAGAAGCATTTAGGGGATAGTCAAACCATGCAGTCGTGATCTTATTTAAGTTAAGTTCGTGGAAATTGGATTGGACTCTATCAAAATGTGTTGTTTAGACCGAGTCAATCAATGTGTTTACCTAAGAGAGAGCATGATTGATTTTGTTGTAGTTAACGTTATTTATTTAAGTGCGCAGCTATCTATAAAAATAACATCGATTTCTTTTTCAAGAAAGTTTTTGAGCCGATGCCTCAGACTAAACGGGATATATCAATATAAAGGAGAAAAGGCTTGTGAGCTTTGAAAAATAAGGTTGATGCTTTCCTTAACACCGATTCTATCTTGAATACCTATTAATGGATTACTTTGCTTTTACCCCATATCATCAGCAATTTGTAATGGTTACTTTCCCTAATTCTAAGCGGAGGGTGGCCCTTGAGCCAATGTAATAATTATAAATCAATATGCATTCAATAATGGGCTCTTACAATTATTATCTGTAAATGTAAGCGAAACACACTTCAAGCAACAACAACAATTGAATTGATAGCTCACTCCGAAATAAAAATTCAAATAATTTTCAAGTGTTGCCAACTTAATTAAGTCACAAAATTTATGAGCTCCTTTTGGCTGGCATTGGTGTTGCCAACGACGTAGCATGCCCCAGTGGCATGTTGTTTATGGGCGGGCGCACGCACACACACACACGCTTGGATACTTTCAATATCAAATACAAATAAGCGCGGGAGCAAAGCAACTCAATTGACACGCGTCGACCCGCGCCACTTACGAAACGAAACATCTATGTGGATATCGACAGCCGTGGGCGCCCCAAACGCTACTCCAAACTCCGCAAATGAAGCCGTTCACATTCTTGGGCCCCGACTCGAGAATCTGAATCTGAATGTGAGTTCGAATCGAGGAAGCAGCGCCAAATGACGACAACGTCACGACGATCGATTTTAACGATTTGTTTTGATATTTTTACGATTATGGGGCATCGTTTGCACAACATAAATAGAACATAAAACTCCCATCACATTGGCGGGTCACAATTTCGGCTCGAGCTCCAGTTTCAATGCCCGCCAGCAATACCGACGGGGCTTTGATGCTGGGCAAGCTGCGAGTGTTGCGCTGGAGGGGCTCTGTTCAATTCAATTAATAATAAATTAGCTGCAAGTGGCAGAGCGAAGAAATCTCAATGAATATTTACATTTAACGATGTATGAATTGCACTTTGGTGGCTTTATTGGATTGACTTTTAATTGCCCACCGCGGCGCCGGATGCATGTTGCACTTCAAAGAGCATTAAGCAACTGTCTGGCTGCATTTCGTCCTGCTGTTTCGAGTTCCTTTTGCATCATCGTAAATCACAGGCGCCGCATGCATATGAGTCGAAAAAGAAATATGCCAAAAATTGCATTTAAGCGTATTTTTTTTTGTAAATATTTTTGGTGCTCTGTCCTTGTTGTTTTATGACGCGTTCGTCCTGCGTCCGCCTGCATATATGCAAGCTACGCACTCTACGGGAATTTTTCAAGTCCTCTGCTTTTGCCTGCCTCGTACTCAGCCCGGCGACATATCTGGAGCAAAAACATAATTTCGGTTCATTTTTTGTTGTTTGCCTGGCGAATATTTTGTCTGCTTTTATGATTTATGGCATATGGAACAGGATGCTTAGACAGCGGCAAGTGTGGCATGGAACACAGCACATGAGACACACTCGCAATGTGGCAAGGAAATGAATATTTGAATCAATACGTCAGGACATATGTTGCCAGTACCTGTTTCATCCATTGAGTATTCACTGAGGTTGTTAAAATAAACATTTTATTGTTGTTTAGATTTGTGAAAAAATGTTTTCAAAGACTACAGAATAACTTACATGAAAAAAAAAAACAAGGCCTACTATGCGTTGAATTTATGCTCATATCAAAAATATTAAACATATCTTATGAAACATTTCGCTATAAAGATATGGTTAAAATAATCTGTGCATATAGATGAAAATTATTAAACTGTTCAAGTATTGCTCTTTTCAGATATTTTCATAATATATTCTATTGGGCCAAGATGTCGGCACTTAAATTCCTTTATGCTGTTCAAGAATTCGAGCCGTTTTCATCAGATCCATGAAAATGCGTGCGGGTTTTTACAAATAAGACAAAAGTCACGTGCGGGGTGCCGAGTTTTGTGCATTTGTCATATTAAAATAGAACATGGATGCTCTAGCTTCGCTTGGCAGCATCTCCTGGCTCCCCTCGTCAGCAGACGGCCATATGCCAGAAGCCAAAACAAAATGGCGTCTGTCAGCTGCTTGGCATCCACATGTGGATGCAGCCGCCACTCTCACGTCTGTGAATCCGACTACGAATTCAAGTTCTGAGTGCTGCTGTTGATAGATACGCAGGCAACCCAATTTTCTCACAGGCCGTCGCTGTGGCGTGTCCTTTAGCAGAAGGAAATGTTTGCCTAAGCCTCAGATGTTGTTGCTGCCATTTTGAGCTGCCTTTTCGGCTGGCGTAGCAGCGTTCAATTGTGCACGCCTCTGCCCCCTCGCATCGGTAGTGCCACATACGGCTGCAGTTGCTGATAAGCCTGAATCGAGCACAAATCGATTGCCCCAGCGCTGCGTGTGCAACATGATAAATGTGCGTGTTATCCTCCTTTATAGCAGTTGTCAGTTGCAAATGAATTCCAGCAACAACAACAATTGCCGATACACATGCGCCACGTCTCGTTAGTGCCAGTCCCAATGCCAGACCCAAATCCCACTCAAATGGAACGTACGCTTGTTTCTGTGCCGTAAGCGACTCGTGCGGGGGTTTCAAGATAACACTCCATGTCAAACGAATCTAGCTTTAGAGAATTGATAAGATGTTTCCCAACGTATGATGTATTTAAATTATCTTCAATTGACAGAAAAGGAATTGCATAAAAGCGGGAATTTTTTCAAGTACTAATTGGTTGATATACAATTTCAAGTAACCAATTGCAGAAGAAACTCTTGTAAAGAGAGTTTTCACATAAGTTCATAGTTTTATTCTTTTAAGTATTGCATGCTTAGGCATGCTCGAGCATGATAATGCTCTTTTCATATAATATACATACCCTTCTTTGGTTTTTAACTTAAATCAAAGTTTTTAATTTGTTAATTTATTATTTTATTTAATGATTAACTGCGTTAGATGAAACCTATATTTTGTTGTGTCATGTTGTTGATTGGGTTCTCCTAAACGCAAGAGGATTGTTAAAAGCTTTTCGAAAATAATTTTTTTTTTTATAAATTTTCATATTTTGAATTTTAATGTTTCTTTTTGGGTGGCCCCCAATTGGTAGTTTTCGATAATCACACCCGATGTCAAAAAGCTTTTCAACAATGGAAAGCCAATAGATAACATTAATTTCCGTAAACATTAAATACATTAGTTTAGAAAATATTCATTTTGTTATAAGAACAATTATTTATATTTGCATCAAATAATTATTTCATTAAAATTTAGTTAAAGAAATTGCAAATCCATTTAAATAAATATAAATAAATAAATGGAAAAATATAAAGTTAGAGTTGGAAAAATAAACAAAAATTTTATTATATAAGAAAACCCAGTCTTCGAAATGTGACGAACGCATGTTGAGGAAATAAAGAACGCGTTGTAGAATTGACAGAAATGTCTCTATTATCGTAAATACGTTAAAATTTTCCCCACAATGGAACCTAAAATAAAATGCTGTGGATACAGTATACCATGTTGACAATTCAATTAAATATCAACTGGCAAGTGGGATGCTATGAATACAAGTGCTCCGATTTCCCCAAAAGCTGGGCCTACATATCCTCAACGGGCTCATAGATGATATAGCTGATGTGGCCCTCTTTCTCATCTGGGGCAATACGCTCCAGCGTGGCGACCAGCAGTTCGTTGACATTAAGCTCACGGAGCAGATCCATCATCATGACATAGGAGATGCGCAGCATGGGTGTGCCCTCCCTGCGCCACTTTTCGATCATCTCGTGATTGGCAGCCAGCTCCTCGTCACTGCTGAATATATGATAGTTAATCCGGCAACCCCTATAGCCGCGAACCTTCACCTCGTGCACGGGCTTGGTTTCAGCCCTCCGCTGGCGTTTAGCCTTCGGCTCACCTTCATCATCATCGCTAGTTTCGACGGCGTCCAGGTCGCTGTCGCTGGTGCAGTCGCTGCTGCTTTCGCTGCTGCTGTCACTGTCCTCGTTGGTGTCGTCATCGGTATATTTCAAGCTGCTGCTGACATTGAGATCCTCAATTAGCGAAAGCTTGGAGCGCAACAGATGTAGTTGACTGGTGTCCACAAGGAGCAACATGTAGTGCAGTTGTCCGTCCGGTCGCACTGTCTTTAAAAAAAGCCTGGTTTTCTCCTCACTGATGGGCACTGCATCTTGCAAAAGGTGCAGCATTAGCTGAGAGGCGGTTAGCTGGCCAAAGAGCTGTTCCAGGCGTCCCTCTGGCAGTTGAACTTCACTCTGACCCCGCGGCGCCACCCATAGTGTATCTACATAAAGCTGTGTGGCCACTTTCTCGCCTAGCGACTCGCCCACCAACTGCAAACAGCGACCGCAATGAATGTGCTGTCCACACTGAATGACGCGTTTCCCCAGAATCTTCGGACTTATCACAATATAGTTGAGAGCATAGAGTAATTCGCCCTCAGCTAGAGATGTGGGCTTTTTGTCGCTGGGACAGAAGTACTTTATTGGCTCCATGGTGTAGACAGGCATCGGACGGATGCAGTCGTACCGGCGCACGGGCACCAATTCGTTGTAGCAATTGCTGCAGTGTAGACCACAAGCCATGGATTCGTTTAGGAGCAGATGCAGGTCCTCAATGGAAACGTCAACGGTTTGCTGGTCCAGTGCCGCATCGTTAATATGGACTAAACTGAGCTTCAGGGCTGTTGCATTGTTCGTCTCCTTGTCAACAGTTATGCCCGCCTCTGGGTTTGTGTTGATCTCAAAGAACTTCCCCAGAGGCGTGAACTGCTCAAAGTCGCGCTCGATCCAGCGAATGCCATTCGCGCTCACATCAATGCGTCTAGTCTGTTGCCTAGCCTTATCCTCGTCCGGTGAATTAAGCATCAGCACATTTATCCACTTACTGGTGCGCATCAGCGATATGACAATCAGTTCCAGTGGCATGATAATATCACAATGAGATTGCCAAATGTTCTGTCAGGTAATACACTTCTAACACTGAGTTTGACAGCTGGATTTACCAAAAGGCTGCTGGGATTGTTAGTTGTCTTGCAATCAGTTCAAGTTGGTCACTAGGTCACGTAAGAACTTGTACAACGAAAGATGTGGCTTATTTTATATTCAATTTAATATTAAAGTAGCATAGAACGCTAAACAATATTAAACACTTTTCATAAGCTAACTGTCAGCAAGTGATAAAGAATTGAAACAAAGATCTGATTTTAACATTCTGCAAAGGTTCCTTAGTGATATATTCAAAAAATACTTTAAATACATGACGCTTTTAGTAAGGATTCGATTTACGTTGTAAAGTCTGTAAAAATCGAAGTGATATATGCAATGCTACATCAGTTATTTAAAATACATTTAAATTACATATTTAAAAAAGAATATATTTTTTCTGTGACTTTTAGTTTATATTTATATTAAATTTGTAAAGTGTATAAGGCTAAAGGACTCATTAATAAAAAAAAATATATATGTACGCATGCATGATTTGCTGCAAATATTAAGAGCTAGAACATTTGTTGAAGAGTACGCAATAATCGGCCATGTCCCAGCTTGTAGGCGATCTGCAGTGATGAATCCCACGAAGCGCTTTTTACCGTCATATAGAAGCACACACGGAAACGAAATAAATCGAGAGTGAAATGAATGGTCTCAAAAGGATGAATGGCCAGTTTGAAGGCAAGGAAAAAACAAGAAAACAATAACAACAACAACAACATCAGCAAGCTGGCAAGTTACGAAAAGCAAAAATATTGAAACGAAAAATACAACTGACAAAATTTTACTTCGTTTTATTTGCAAAGCGGAGCACTCCATAAATTTTCGGGCGCTCAATATTGTTTCAGATCATAAATCATGGTTGCATTTGCGTACGGACGTACATTTCAAACACGCATACACACACACAATCAGACACACACACACGCGCACAAACACTTGAACATACAGCTGCATTCGTATGGGAGAGGGTCTGGGCTGTGGAAACTCGGGGACTCAGTCTGTATTTGCAATGGCACAGACACCGACAAAATGTACCTTGTATCTGACATTGGGCTGCAGATGCACTGCAAAAAAAAAAAAAATAAAATAAACGGCAAAAGGCCAACAGCAACAACTACAACAATAGCAACATGCACTCATAGTGCATTTGTATAAAGTCAATGCCGCTGCACTTGTGCCCCGGCACATTCGTATTCGCATCCGCATCCCATCGAGCGCCACGAGCCGCACCCCTCTTATCCACTGAAAAAGCGCATCCACTCGGCTTTGCGTTGGCGGGCTAATAGCATGCAAATGCAAAATGAAGGCAGCTCACCATCAAGGGGGTTGATATGGGTAGGGTCACGGGAGGGGGGCATTCAGGCTGAAGAGGTCTGCAAATTCACATTAACGCAAATTCCGTAAGTGAAGTATGTTGCATTTGCTGTACGTAAATTTTAAAAAGCGCGGCACAATAACAAAACATTTACTCAGCGCTTCTCGCTTATTTACAGTTAGAAATACAGAACAATGTACAGATACATAAACATATATAGATACAGATACAGATACAGATACAGATACAGATACAGATACAGATACAGATACAGATACAGATACAGATACAGATACAGATACAGATACAGATACAGATACAGATACAGATACAGATACAGATACAGATACAGATACAGATACAGATACAGATACAGATACAGATACAGATACAGATACAGATACAGATACAGATACAGATACAGATACAGATACAGATACAGATACAGATACAGATACAGATACAGATACAGATACAGATACAGATACAGATACAGATACAGATACAGATACAGATACAGATACAGATACAGATACAGATACAGATACAGATACAGATACAGATACAGATACAGATACAGATACAGATACAGATACAGATACAGATACAGATACAGATACAGATACAGATACAGATACAGATACAGATACAGATACAGATACAGATACAGATACAGATACAGATACAGATACAGATACAGATACAGATACAGATACAGATACAGATACAGATACAGATACAGATACAGATACAGATACAGATACAGATACAGATACAGATACAGATACAGATACAGATACAGATACAGATACAGATACAGATACAGATACAGATACAGATACAGATACAGATACAGATACAGATACAGATACAAAGATACAGATACAGATACAGATACAGATACAGATACAGATACAGATACAGATACAGATACAGATACAGATACAGATACAGATACAGATACAGATACAGATACAGATACAGATACAGATACAGATACAGATACAGATACAGATACAGATACAGATACAGATACAGATACAGATACAGATACAGATACAAATACAGATACAGATACAGATACACGATTTGGAGCTGGAGTCATTAAAGGAGTCAAGAGTGCAGCTGTCTAGACGCAGCTAAAGTTAGCATCTGTATAGGCATTCGAATTTGCACTCGCACTCACATATTTGAAATACATAAATCTTGCGGATGAGCGTGCGTAGCAGCCGGCGGGTTACTGGCTTCTCAAGTGGGCGTCACGAAGTAGGGTCAGGCGTCGACTTTATTGGCGATTGGGTGTCAGCAGGCGTAGCAGCAACAGCTGTGGGAAAAAATATTTGTAATTTTTGGCTACTGAATAAAACTGGTCTTATTTTATGAACCGAACTGAATTGGAACACCAGATTCCATGCAGGACCTTAAGAGTTGTATGATTCGTTACACTGAAAAAATTTAACTGTAGATATATATAGCCGGAAATCTTAGCAGATGCTAAGCAAAGCATTAGCATCATATTTGATACCAGTAGATGAACCGATCTAGCCAAATCTGTCGATATGCCTCTCTGTCCGAAGTACAAGGTAAACAAGTAAGAGTCTCTAGTCGGGAGCTCCTGATTAGGGGATAACCAGAATCCTCTTCTTCGACCACATAAAGTATATATATTCTTGATCACATCAATAGCCGAGTCGAACAAGCCTTTTCGTCTGTCTGTCCGTCCGTCCGTCCATCCGTCCGTCCGTATGTATGAACGCAAGGATCTCAGAACCTATAAGAGTAGAGACTTGAAATTTTAGATGTAGATGCTCCTAGTTCCCGCGCAGATCGAGTTTGTTTCCGATAATCGATAACTTACTCCGTTTCCAAGCACTCGATAATCGATATAGATATCCTGTTTTTTTTGACAATTTTGGTAAATAATAAAAGGTAGAGTCACCAAATTTAACATATAGCTTCTAAAATAGAATATAGCTTCTAAAATGCATTTGATGTTGGAAGAATAGGGTTCAGGGTATCCCCTAGTCGGGAGCTCCCGACTAGAACCTCTTACTTGTTGTTTATCATTATTTCAGACACATTTCCCAGCATCTGTGTTTAAATTTATTTGAGAGGTCTTTCACACTTTTCAGAAGATCAAACAAAGCATGGACCAAAGATCAATATGAAAATTCCGTTGAGACGTGTTTCACCCAACTCATCTGGGTGGAAAGTAAAGGTTGTGTGAGAAAAGTTAAATGATTCCTCCGATCAAAGAATTCGTATATTAGCTATTTTTATATTTCCATCGCTACTTTACGCTACTTTTTAGAAACCCATCCGATCGGAGCCAGAATGGATATGAAACCTTGATTATATATTTCAATCCTTAATTGAAAGGATTTCAATCATTTTCCATTATCTTTGCAAAATGTAACTTGGACCATGGAGTATATATGATAAAGACACATATTATATATGTATACGTTATCTCCAGTATAACTTATAATCAATTAGATTATTATTATTTTAATTTATTGTTCGAAATATTTTATATGTTTTCAAATGCGTAATTATAATTTTTATTATTTCTAAAGTCAACTTAATTTATCATTTTTAATAAATTTATTATATATTACCTTCTATCCACTATCAATTTAATAACCCACTGTAATAACCCAAAATAATCAATCTTTGAATTTGTTTGCCAAACCTCGGAGCCCATCCGATGTGGGATCGCCCAAAGCAATCCTTTACCTTTAACTGACTACAGATGGCGCTTTAACACGATGGCAATCCATCTGCGGTACTCATAAAAGATTTCGCTAAATTGATACTGTCGATGGAGTAATTAAACTGCAATTTTTATGAGACATGTCGGACAGAGGCTGCTGCTATCACAGATCGAATAAATTATATTCGCCGGCTATTGGAGGACACACTCTTTCTCTATCTCTATCTCTCTCTCTCTCTCTCACTCTCTCTCTCTCTCTCTTATTCCCTGCTTGCGCTCAGACGCACATACACACACACACATGCAGGGCGAGAGTCTGTCTCCTGGTAGCTGTGCATTGTTGCGGGCCGTATACGGTTGCTCGTTCGCTTCCACGGTAAATTTTCCGACGCAATTTTGCCACAATCCGGCTCTGGGTTCCGGGGGAGGTTGTAGCTCTGACTCCCGCATAGAACTGCAGTTTGTTTTTGGCACGCAAATAAATTTGGGTCCAATACTGTGCAAAGTTTTGAGCCCGTGTGATTGCATTTTAATTTCCCGCCTTTGCTTTTATATTGAATTCGCCCGTACACTTGGCCCGACTGTCGGGTTCGACCTACGTGATTGTCAACTAATGACTGTCGCCTCCGTTTTGGATGTTCCTCGATTCCCCTTGGCAAATCAACCAGTCGACTTGAGTTGAAAGTATGTCTGGCACACATTCAAATGATTTCAATGTAAATGGCAAACAGCACAAAATTGCAATAAAATAAAAAAAAATTCGTGCGGCATGAAGTTGTTAATTTTTATGACGTCATTACTCGCCTCGTAAAATCCGCTCAACAGTTGGTCGCCAGCTCCGGAGAGCAACAGGCGCTGAATGAAGCTTCAGTTTTATGAACATGTTGGGGCAGGAACTGGAACTGTAAATCGGACTGCTACTGGTACTGGGATTGGGTTTGGAAATCTCGGCAAGTCAACTTGAAAGTTGTGAGCTTTATTTGCAACCGGAATTTTTATTGTTATTGCTCCGTTTATGACTTTTACGAGATTCGCTTTTCAGCTCACTTCTAATTTGTTGCCCATTGTTTTCGTTGCTCTCTGCTACCTCACTTC